TCAGAGAGATCCATACACTTACACACAAGTTATTGTCTGAAAGTTACAAAAATGCTTATTTTTGGCCCCTTTTTGGCCCCTAATTCCTTAACTGTTGGTACCATAACCCCCAAAATCAATCCCAACCTTCCTTTTGTGGTATTGAACCTTATGGTGAAATTTCATGGAGATCCATTCACTTAAACTAAAGTTAGAGTGCGAAAACCAATGTGTCTTCGGACGACGCCGGACGACGCCGGACGACGACGACGACGACGACGACGCCAACGTCATACCAATATACGACCAAAAAATTTTTAATTTTTGCGGTCGTATAAAAATGCTAATCATAATGACATATGTTCTTATTTCTAAATAAAGTAAATCTTCTGACAAGAAGTTATTTAAAGAAAAAAATGTCTTGCTTTTTGAAACAATTGTTTACTTATCAAATATGTTATCTTCAGTTTGGCTAATTTCTGTCTCCAGAAAAAATAAAGTACACTTCTATAGATTGTGGCATTTTTAGGGTCTATTAATTTAATCCATTTTTGTTCTGTGTATTATATTATCAAAACTGCAGGACTGGCATGATGCATATTCTTGGTATACATTTGCAAAGAATATTTCACTCAACCCAGGCCTTTTAGATAAAGTTTATAATTGCAGGGACTTGAATGAATTAGACTCTTTAAAGCCTTTGATTAAAAATGAATTTTAACATGTTTAAGAACAAAACTAAGAATATTTTTGAAAATAAAATAAAAACCTATGATGAAAACAGTAAACTCAAATGTAAGAATTAGTGGTCATAATTTAGAAATAGAAATTAGTGGATAAAATGTCTAGAAAGGATAGAATATGTAAACTGTGCCTCTTGCTGGAAGATGAAGAACACTTCCTCCTTGATTGTAAAATTAACATAATAACTTAGAGACAATCTATTTGAAAATTGTTTACCTTCTCATGATAATGTCTCTTAACCAGGTTATGAATAAAATCTTACATCTTATAAAATCTCAACAAAGAATAAAAAGTAAAAGAAATGCTAAACCTCTATAACATGGAACATGTTTGAAATATTGGCTCCATTATCAAATAGTCATTAGAACTGAGGGCAGAAACATAATATTTTTTTCCATGTGTTTTGATTTCTTATAGAATTGTTATTTCTTTGCATTATATTGTTCGGTTTTGTATTATTTTGTCACAAACTAATTATTATATGTTTATATGACAAAAATATTATCAATTTTTGCTGTAATGATTATTCTGAACATATTTATTAAATAGAGAAATAATGAATTACCTAAATTTTATTTAGAATAAGTCCTAAAGATAATCTTAAACATTTGTTAAACAATGTTGAATGCAGATCAGTCTCTCAAAGTATAAACAATTTTGATTTTAGAAAATTAATCTAAGAAGCACCTTTTCAATAGAAAAAGGCAGATCTATTGTTTGCATTATATCAAAAGATGATAAGACTGATATTCATTTATTCTTCACTTGCCAAAAAAATACATGTAAAAAATTACTTACATTGATAGAATTATTTAAAAGGTATAACACCAAAAAAAAAACAGTCATGACAATTTTTTCAATATTTTTTTATCAAGCAATATGTTCAACTAGTTTTATTATTTCATTTTATTTTTGAATTTTCATTTCATAATCACATTAACTAAATTTGACAAACACATATATTTGGGTCATATGGGTGCGTCTAAACACTGCTAAGGAGTCCTTAGTGCACTAAGGACTTATGATATGCCACTAAGGACTATATGGGGTGCTATTACATGTAATGTCTTTTCATATTATTGTAGATATTGATATTTAATGCATAAATTTCAAATTTTATAGAAAAATAATCACAAATAAATGAGTTATTCAACATTGTGTAGACACGTGCCTGTTTTTCTTTGATATGCCGAAAATCAATGAACCGTTAGACACGTGTCAAATTACATAACTGATTACACGGGAATCCTGCTATCTGTTGTGTTTAATCGACAATATTGGAAAAGTTGGATACTAATAAATGAATAGTTTTTAAGATTATATTTCAGTGATCAAATTTGATTTGACTTCGCACTGAATAAGTTGTTAAAATTTTATTCATGTTTTTTTTTCCAGATTCTCAAGAGTATTTTGTAATTATTTCTTGTAAATAATAGATTTGTTTCCAGAGCAATATATCTAAATTTATTTTCATATATGAAGACGTTAAGCAATGTATTACCAGACAAAAACGAATTCAATATGATAATAAATTTTTACTACATGCAACAAATATAAGAAAGAAGATGTGGTATGATTGGCGATGAGACAACTCTTCACAAGAGACAAAATGACACAGAAATTAATAACTATAAGTCACCGTACGGCCTTCAACAATGCGTAAAGCACATACAACATAGTCATTATTTCATACAATATCTTAAACAGACAATTTGGTTAAAAAAATACAAATCGGATTTCCTTCTGACATACTTGTTCTTCTTAAAGAAAAAATAAATTTAAAGAAATTATATTTGAAAATATTTCTGTTGGTTTTTTCAAGGATTTGTATTGTAATATACTATACAAATCCTTGTTTTTTTTTAATTTTTACACGTGATAGATTTAGGTATAAAGTTTTCAAATTATCTTGTATAACAAAAAATGATTATTTTCACATCATGAAAAAGAATATTTTTACATCATGAAAAAGCATATTTTCAAGGCATTCGTACGAAGCATAACCTTTTTATGTCAAAATTATACCTAAAGCTCTAAATTAACACATACGGGATAATTTTCGTAAATAATGTGCTAAAATCTGTGGAACATTTAAAAAAAAACATTTGTCTCCTTTATATATTTGAAAATGAAACTTCAAAGTTCGATAATGATTCTTAAACTTTTTATACTTTGAGAAAAAAACAAATGTCGAACAATTACAAAAAAAATAAGTACGGTATGAAGCCTTTGTAAACAGCTATCAAACTGGTTGAACACTAGTGGTTTTGAATAACCCCAAGGACGTCACATGATTTTTTTTCCAATTCAATCGTAATTCGTACTAAGTATGAAGCAGTAATAGAAAGTGGAAAAGCAAACACCAGGTTTTGATATTTTTTCAGAATTTACTCATAAGTTTTAATGAAACACGCATCTTTGTCGGAATTAAAATTAAAACAAAAAACTTATAAATATATCTATTCCTTTTGTCTTGGTATTTTTTTTTTTTAGTAGTTTCAGAGGAGAAGATTTTTGTAAAAGATTACAAAAATTTACGAAAAATGGTTAAAAATTGACTATAAAGGGCAATAACTCCTTAAGGGGTCAACTGACCATTATTACTTCCATCTCTTACATAAACATTTAACAAGCTGACCACACTCTTAACTTATTAGTTGGCGCACATCAAAGTCGTGCACAAATGGCAAATATAACTTTGTCGAGAAAGAAATAAAAAATAAATAAAATTATTTGTCCTTTTAATCATTGCAAATAAGAACAACATATTTAATTATAAATTATTAAGCATTAATCTTTTCGATACAATTGTTAATTACTTAAAATAAAAAGATTATGATTGTTTATTCAGTTGTTATGTTATATGGCACGTGTCAATCGGTTCACTGATTTTCGGCATATCAAAGAAAAATGGGCACGCGCTTAAACAATGCTTAATAACTCGTTTATTTGTGATTATTTTTCTATAATAATTTTAATTTATGCATTAAATATCAATCTCTAACTTAATATGGAAAAATAATACATGTAACAGCACCCCATCTAGTCCTTAGTGGCATAGTATACGTCCTTAGTGCACTAAGGACTCCTTAGCAGTGTTTAGACGTACCGCATATATTTTACCTGAGACACTTTACCTGTAAGTTATATAATTTTAACACTTCAATGCAGTCATGATTTCCCTTTATCCTTGACTAGTTTTTGATTAATACATTGTGTATTAATTAAGCAACAGGGGGTATAACGATGGACATATAGAATGTAGGACAGAAAGTCACAGGACAAAAAGTCACAGACAAAAAGTCACGGACAAAAAGTCACAGGACAAAAAGTCACAATTCAGTTTTGAGAATATTTTTCTTTGAGTAAGAAAACAAATATTTTTGAAAAAACTTTTTTGTATTTTTCTTGAACTATTATGTATAAAGCAACTTTGTAATTAAAATTTATTTAATAAATATCAATAATGATGAAATAATTGTAAAGAAAACAAAATGTCAAAGTGGTTTGGTACTTAAATGGCTTCATGGTGCCAATAAATATATCCTTTGCATGATTAAAATTTAATAAATTTTCATTTATCAAGGCTAATGAACAATTTACTAAACTGTTAACTGAATATATGTAATAAAAATATTTTTTTTTAGATATTTCTCTTATACATTCAAACAATTGTCAACAAATTGTTTGTGACTTTTTGTCCTGTGACTTTTTGTCCTATCAAATTTGTGACTTTCTGTCCTGTGACTTTTTGTCCTGTGACTTTCTGTCCGTTTACCGACATATAGGGCCATCATGGTGAACATTATTTTTAGGGCCACCATCAATAAGATAATGTCACAGGTAGTACTGTAGTACAATTTCAGAAAGATCCATACACTTGCACACAAGTTATTGTCATGAAAGTAGAAAAATGCTTGTTTTTTGCCCCTTTTTTGGCCCCTAATTCCTACAATTTGGAGGCAATTACCCCCAAAATCAATCCCAGCATTCCCTTTGTGATATGGAACCTTGTGGTACAATGTCAGAGAGATCCATACACAAACACAAGTTATGTCTGCAAGTTACAAAAATGCTTATTTTTGGCCCCTAATTCCTTAACTGTTGGTACCATAACCCCCAAAATCAATCCCCACCTTCCTTTTGTGGTATTGAACCTAATGGTAAAATTTCATAGAGATCCATTCACCTAAACTACGCCAACGTCATACCAATATACGACCGCAAAAATTCTTTGCGGCCGTACAAAAAGTAAATGGCTATAAATAAAAAAGAACAAATGCTGAATTTTTATTCTGTATATATGTAAATGGAATGCAGAGGGTAACAAAATACAAAATGAAAGTATACAATAACATATAAAAACTTTCTGATAATACCTTAAGTTATCATATCTGATATGTTTCAATTAGTAATCAATACAATTATATAATTATATAACATTTAAGAAGCTTGTACAGTAACTTGCATTTACATAAATCCCTTCCTTGCATATCCCCCTCATCCCCTCCCCCTCCCCAAAAATATTTAACAAATTAAAGAACAATATTACAAAATAACAAAAACTTTCTATTATAGAAAAACTGATCACATATCAAGATTTTCTCTGAGGAGGTACTGAAGTAACTGTAAAATCTTATTACTTAAATTACGAATTAGCCATGGAATAACCTGAAACTCAAATTTTACTAACCAGAGTAACAACATCTTCCACTGAACCAAAGGCAGAGAACTGTTATGGTCATCAACATACTTGATACTTTTTAGATATAGATTTAGAATGAATTTTTATTTGGTCATCAATTGATACTTTTTAGATATAGATTTAGAATGAATTTTTATTCAAGTTTAAAATTAAAATCATACATTCAAAATCACAGAATCAAGACATAAATTTATATTCATTGCACAATTATAATCATATATTCAAAATCACAGAATCATGATATAAATTTATTCATTGTTCAACTATATTTACATTCTTTAAGGTATTTTTTGGATAGTGGTATGTTGCCAAAACAATTCTCCTTAACTAAAAACCTAAAATGTTACCACAACACTTTTCAGCTATTCAGCATTTTATCACGGAAAGATGAAAATAGATCAAAAAGACCTTTTAAGAAATAACTTCAAAAGTAGATACATGATATATGTAATGGTTAACCAACCTAGTTAAAGCTGACATGATGTGTGTAATAGTTAACTAACCTAGTAAAAGCTGATATGATTTGACTAGTCGGAATGTTATTCAACAAATTTAAGTAGTATAAACCTGTAGAGGTAGAGGTACTTTAATGTTAGTCTGAGTCAAAATGTAACAGAAATTTGATATGAAACTAAAATCGTTGTTCATGTCGAACAACTTTTAGTTGTAATCAATGCAGTTTTCTCTTATCTTTACACCTGACAAACAATTTTAATTTTTAAGAAAAGACTATCTGTTAAATTCTGTTATACTTTATATAATCTTTCACGATTTATAACTTACTTTTCAAAGAACACCTTTTTCCAGATCTATGCAAGAGTTCTGGCAAGAACACATAATTGTTTAAACATGATTTGGAGTAGCCAGTAGTCCTATACTGATTACTCAAAACAAAGACTTATAAATGAGAGAGAGAAACCAGTTGTTCCAACAAAGCTGAGACAATTCATGGGAGATTTATATTTAATTTACAACAACAAATATGCTAATAGTTTAGATAGCTTGATATGTGTTATGGCAGACATCACCTTCAAAATATCACAGTGAACTCAAAATCTTGTTTATAACTACTGTAAACCAACTTTTTTGCATTGAGCCCTTTTAAGAAGATTTCCCAGTGATTTAAATTCAGACTTTTTGAACTTTGTTTCTGTGTTTTTATAAGAGAAGATCCAAATTTGACATCTTCATGTTATTTTTCTACTTGAGAAAGTCACAAAAATAAGTTGTTCAGGAATAATATAAGTTGGATTACAGTATAAAGTAAATAAATACAGAATACTATCTATAATAACGTAAAGGAAAAAATTGTAATTTACTCACACAGACAATAAAAATTATTTTACAAAAATGCCATAATTATATATTATTTTAAAATGCCATTGGAATGTATCATTATCTAAACTCCACTATAATAGGTTTATAATGTAGAATACATCTAAATACAATTGTTCAACTATTAATTTCAATCCATTTGTTTTACTATGGTAATCAACAATAAGCATATTTCAGTTTGAAGATCTATACTTTTTTTGTATTGATCTGAAAACCTTAGAATATGTCTGAAATCCATATAAAAAGGTCCTTAACACAAGTAAATATCCTGGTGAAAAAAAATGTATAAAAATGTTTTATGATTATGCATTATAATGGCACTAAACTATATAAAAATCTTTCTCTATATAAGAATGTACAAAAACTGTCAGCAAGATAAATTTGCTGCTTTAATTGTTTTTCACAAAATTCTACTTCACAGAAAACATGATAATTATAACATAATTTCAAAGCTCTAAGAATCCAGTATCACTCACTCGTGCAACCATACCAAAGTTGTTTTTCATAACATTTTACTTAACATTTCAATAAGTGTTTTATTCCTATGTTCTGTTTAGTACTTGAAAAGTAAGATTGTTTTAGTAAATGCCCTAAGATTTAAATTTAAAAAAAAATGAGCTTAATTGTTTGGTCAACAAAATTTTCTATAAAATTTTTTAAAGGATGTCCTCTTAGGATTAGTTAGGTAAAACTTCATCAAAGTTTATGCAATAGTTTAAGAGAATATATTCTTAAGAAATTTATACAAATAATGAAAGACAAGCATAGCAAATTCTCATAAAGGCAACTGCCAGTTGATTAATAAAATGAAAAATAAAAAAAGACAAACAACAAAGTCAAACTTAACAAACAACCTAAACATAGACATCTTCTCCAATGTCATCCAAACTCATACAGGAGCTCTGTACATTGTGACCAGCACTGCCTGTGTTTGCACCATTAGACTCTACATGATTATTACTTAACATGTTCTCATTTAAACTCACAGAGGATCTATGTATTTCACTTCTGTTGCCAGCACACAAGTGTAAACTAACATTAGATCCTCCAAGTTGATGTCTTGATTTAGCAACTATATGCCTATCTTTATTCTCATCTAAGTCTCGCCTCATTCCATTTCTTCCAGTTATGTTTACGGCCTCATTTTTGCTTTTGATTTCCCTCCTTCTAGATTCTTGACTGTTTAATATCCTATCAGTATTTCTATTTGGTGAGTGACTGTTTGTAGAAATTTTGTCACGTGAGTTATTACTTGCACCAGTTTTGTCTTGTGAGCTATTTCTTGCACCAGTTTTTTCTTGTGAGTTTTTCCTTGCAGCATGTGGTTGCTCTCTTTGTTGGTAGTTCCTAGATTGTTTATTCTTACTCTGCTCTCTTCTTTGTAGTTCATCATCATATTTCTTGCTTAAGACAGGATCTTTAGGTTTTAGTCTATCCCTGGCACTGGGTTGATTATAGTCAGAACAACCATTGACATTACCCCCTTCTTTTGATTTCAATCTTTCCCTTGAACTTTGTTTAGTGTTGGGGGAATACTGTTTTTTGGTATCTGACCTCTGTGGAGTTGTTTGCTGACCAGTAGCAAAATTTTGATGGTCACTTGACCTTTGCTGATCTTCTAGTGATCTATTCTTATCATTTCTGTTTTGTCCAGTCTGTCCTCTGGCACTGTTGTGAAAATGTGGTTCATCTTTATATAGGTTGCTGGATCCATGTTGAGATTCATATCTTTTGGCACTATTGTTTGCTTGCTTTCTGTTCTTATCTTGATGATGTCTTCCAGTTGGAAGTTCAAGATTAGAAACAGCTTGACCTTTGTATAAACTTGATTGTTGATCTTGATCATCAAGATAAGCCTGATTGACAACTCCCAGGTCTCTTGGGGACAAAATTTGTTCAGATCTTGCTTTTGTTAAGTTACTATTCTGCCCAATATTAGATATGTTACACATAGACTGTGTTCCAATAGTTGCTTGTATACTATATAAATCTGGCAGTCGACCAGTGTCTAACATGTGAAGTTTTGGCTGTCCATTAGACTTCTTGTGGTAATTTCTGTGGACACCTTCTCGTCTTGTTTGTGTAGATGTTGAGACAGCATCTTGTTCAGAGATGGGGTTAGCACTGTTTGAAATTGAACTTCTCTGTCTCTCAATGATCGGACTGCCATTATCGTCTAAAAAAGACTGGTTAACATTCTCAGTGGAATAATATGGTGGTGCTGGTTCACCTGACTCTGGCATCATGGGTGAATTTGCAGTTTCACTGTAGGGGGGAGGTTTTGGAGGATATTCTTCATCATCTGGCTGTATTTGTAAAAAAAAAAAAACATTATTAGGAAGTTTTCATCTTTCTTTCCATAAATATACAGACAAATGAATATCTTCTTTTTTTTAAAGTTCTGTCATTAACCTCTTAACCATTTTTTTTATATTGCTGGGTTACCGGTAATGTCTTATTGAATTATACCCCAAATTTCCTTTAATTCATTAGAATGAACAACGACATTTTTCAGAGAAGCAAACTTGATAAGTGAAAGGAGCCTGTAGTGGATGTCGTTGGTTCATGTCTGTCATATTTGTTTTGCGTTACTTGTTTTGTTATAAATTAGGCAGTTAGTTTTCTCAATTGAATTGTTTCATATTTTTCATGTCGGGAGCCTTTTATAGCCGACTATGGGTTTTTCTCATTGTTGAAGGCCATACAGTTGCCTGTAATTGCTTACATCCACTTTATTGGAACTTTGGGGGATAGTTGTCTCATTGGCAATCATACCTCATCTCCTTATTTTTATATTGATAGTCCATTCAAAAATTCTGTTTTATAAGGTAAAACTTACAACTGGTATTCCCGTAATTAAAGCTTCATCATAGGTCGGTGGGGCATCTGGTGGTCTCTGGAAATAATCATGGCCTCTTCTTCCTGTTAAACAATAAAGTTTACTGATAAATAATGAATAAGGTTACATTAATAATTCTGACCTACATACAGTAGATAACTACCTCCAATTTTGTTTAACATTGTGTACTGCTCACAAATTTAATCCAAACTCCTCCTGGTCATTTCATCCACATGCACTTATAACACAATAAAGAGAATTACATGAATCTGGCACACAGAAAGCAGACTAATAAAAAATCTTAAAATGTGTTGCACAATTCATGTTACCAAAATATAGTTTGGTTATGAGTTTTAAGAACCTCAGAATGCAGTTAAAAAATTATGTATTCACAGTTTTCAAAGGACATAAGTGTGTTAGGCAAACAGAAAGTAAAATAACTATATGTTAGGCAAACAGAAACAAGAGGCTCTCAAGAGCCTGAATCGCTCACCTGTATTTCAGAGGAGAAGATTTTTAAATGTTAGCAAACTTGATGAACAAATTGTGTAAAATTGTCTTTAAAGGGCAATAACTCCTTAAGGGGTCAATTGACAATTTTGGTCATATTAACTTTTTTGTAGATCTTACTTTGCTAAACATTATTGCTGCTTACAGTTTATATAAATATCTATAATAATATTCAAAATAATTACAAAAAAACTGCAAAATTTTGTTAAAACTACCAATTCGGTGGCAGCAACCCAACAAGGGGTTGTTCGATTCGTCTGATAATTTCAGGGCCAATAGATCTTGACCAATTAAACAATTTTACCCCATGTCACATTTGCTCTAAAAGATTTAGTTTTTGAGATATAAGCCAAAAACTGCATTTGACCCTTATGTTCTATTTTTAGCCATGGCGGCCATATTTGTCGATGGATACAAACTTCGGATACAATTTATAAACAAGATACCCTAAGGAACATTTATTTAAAGTTTGAAGGTAATTGGCCTAGTAGTTTCAGAGGAGAAGATTTTTAAATGTTAGCAAACTTGATGAACAAATAGTGCAAAATTGTCTTTAAAGGGCAATAACTCCTTAAGGGGTCAATTGACAATTATGGTCATATTAACTTTTTTGTAGACCTTACTTTGCTGAACATTATTGCTGCTTACAGTTTATATATATCTATAATAATATTCAAAAATATAACAAAAAACTGCAAAATTTTGTTAAAACTACCGATTCGGTGGCAGCAACCCAGCAATGGGTTGTTCGATTCGTCTGAAAATTTCAGAGCTGATAAATCTTGACCAATTGAACAATTGTCAGATTTGCTCTAAAAGCTTTAGTTTTTGATATATAAGCCAAAAACTGCATTTGACCCCTATGTTCTATTTTTAGCCACGGTGGCCATGTTTGTCGATAGATCACAACTTCGGATACAATTTATAAACTAGATACCCTAAGGAACATTTAGTTAAAGTTTGAAGGTATTTGGCCCAGTAGTTTCAGAGGAGAAGATTTTTTAAATAGTTTATGACGACAGACGACGACGACGGACGCCAAGTGATGGCATAAGCTCACATGGGCCCCAGTGAGCTAAAAAGAACAAGCATACATGTGTTAGGCAAACAGAAAGTAGAATAACTATTTGATTTTAGTATTGATTTTTTTTTGTAAATTATAACCATTAAAAGGACTTCCAAGAATTTGGTAAGTGGAAAATAGAAAAGAAACAATCTGAAAATGTGATACTTAGTACTGCTAATTCAGAGATTTATGCAATGTTTTTATTATTGTGAAAATTGCAACGAAATAAGTGTTGCAAAATTAAAACTTGCCTCAAATTTTAATATTATTTGTGCGCAAATAAATTCTGAATAATTAAACTCACATTTGTGTCGATTGTTCAACAATCACAATAATAAAGGCACGCAATAATTTTTGAATTTACAGTATAGCTTACTATGAATTTTTTTTTTTTACCAAATATCTAGAAACCCTGATTTGATGTTGTGAACAGAAAAAGAAATACTTTGATCAACAATGGTAAACCTTTAATTGTGTAGAATCTACTAAAATTTATGTCTTTGTGAGTGCATCACACATTTATGGTAAAATGAGTATTCAAAATTCTAAACAGTTTACATATATCAAAATATGTTCCTATCATAAGATTTAACCCTCTTGCTGCTGCTTATTTAATATGGGCCAGAAAATATGGCAGGTAGACATCTGTGAGGTCATGTGTCCCTCCGGCAGCAAGAGGGTTAAGAGTTGTCTCCCTTTGCCAAATTCTATTATTAGAAACTAAGTATTTAACTTGAAAATGGACTTGTATTGATTCTTACATTAGAACAAGTGGATTATCGGATTTATCCAATCGAGAATGGATAAATCTGAAAATCCATGATTAACTATGTAAGACTCTGTTTCTCTAATGATAATCAGATATAATGAATTTTCATAATTGATAAACCAAAATCCCCTACGAGTGCCTTCACATTCCTACGTCCTCCACTTACGAAATTGATATTCAAACACTTCATTTATGTATCACGAAATTGATATTCAAACACTTCATTTATGTATCACGAAATTGATATTCAAACACTTCATTTATGTATCACGAAATTGATATTCAAACACTTCATTTATGTATCACGAAATTGATATTCAAACACTTCATTTATGTATCTCTGGATCAAATGGAAAAAAACATAAATAACAATACATTTTTAATCAAGAACATTGCATTTAATGAAATATATATATTTACACGGGTAGTAACCTCGTCATATCGAGGAGCGTTTAGTACAGTGATTTTGTCATAGTTTGGTTAAGTTGGTCATGGATTAGTAAGGTTACTTCCCAGAATGATTGTATCATTTTTAAATGAGTAAATAAAAAGGAAATAACATGTTTGAATCTATATTGTAAGTCAAGCGATCTAAATTGAAATTGTTGTTTTTAAGAAATTAACGCAGGATAACCAAAATATCGAAATTGGTATGGTTTAGTTAAGCGATTGACATGGTTCAGTTAAGTGTCTAGAAATTAGTCATGGTTTTGATCAAATTTGTCATGGTTTAGATCCAAATTAATACATATTTGTTTCACCTTAATATTGATAGTTTGTATGAAGGCGCTTGTGAAAAACTGGAGTTACACAATTTACGAATTGACTAAGAAGAAAAAAAGCCTTTTTAACCAAATTTGGTGGGCGTAATCTGCAAACTTGGCCATACATTTATAGATTTTACTTTTGGTGTGTTCCTTAGATAGAATTTATATAACTACTGCTCTTTTTAACTGGCATTTTGATAAAATGAATTACAAAAACAGAAGCCGTTGTTTTTGTTTCACCTAGACTCTTACTTCCATGCTTCCATATGTCCATGGTGAACTCTGCCGGGGATATCGTGAGCGGCGTCACTAGTCAAATGATTAAAGACGTCTACTTAGAGTTGCAAAACGTAGCAGCTAGTAAAAAAATTACCTTTGGTTAACATTCTTTCTAGCAAACTATACATCTGTTGTTTTTATTTGAACCAGATTATGGCTATGAATAAAAGGAGATGTGGGGGTTGTATGCCCATGATACAGTAACCCAACTACCGGTACAAAACTAACCTCAGTAAACGATATCGAGATGGCACCATACAGTCTTTAACCCTCCGAGGAATAAAATGTTACATGTAACATGGACAACAGTTAAAACTTATTTTTTTAATAAACTATAAGTGAAATTACTATGAAAATTATTTTCAAAGTTCCGAATTTAAAGATATGAAAGATGACAATTTTGAATTAGAAATAGGTCGATATAATGTTCATTTTCATCAATTATTATTCCGAAATTCAAATATATGAAAGATCACAATTTCGAATTAGAAATAGGTCGATATAATGTTCATTTTTATCAATTATTATTACGAATGAATTTCGAATTAGAAATAGGTCGATATAATGTTCATTTTTATCAATTATTATTACGAATGAATAAAATTAATTATGTTTTTGTCATATTGTGTAGGTGAATTGTGTAATATCGCTTAACCCGTTGAAAATTTTTTTTTACTTTATGCAATAAAGTAAAAAATTTCAGAAAAAGCTCTGTCGATCTAGTATTTAGTATGCGAATTAAAATGTACATTATTAAATGTGATTGAAAAAAAGTAATTTAAATTCCAAGATACATGTGTTATTTGTTTAGTACAAGTAAATATTTATTAGTTGTTATTGGCTTGGAAATTCCAGTAAATGCAAATACTCACAGATCGGTTCTTTGTGTCTTTGGTATTTATGTGACTTGATTATTTTGCTTTGTATCGATCTGATGAGTCAAGTCCTTTTTAACTGATTTTTATAGTTTGTTCTTCTTTGTTGTGCTGTTACACCACTGCCAAGGTTAAGGCGAGGAGAGGGTTGGGAGTCCACAAACATGTTAAACGCCGCCATATTCTGTATGTGCCTATCCTAAGCCAAGAGTGTGTAATGCAGCGACTGTCGTTTGTAACTGTTTTTCGCTTATTATTTTGAACATAAATCAGGCCGTTGGTTTTCTTATTTGAGTTGCTTTACATTTAATTTTGTTGGAGCCTTTTATTGCTTGCTAAGAAATATGTGTTTTGTTAATTGTTGTAGGCAGTATGGCGACCTAACATGTACGTCATTTGGTCTCGGGTGGATGGATAGTTGTCGCATTGGAAATCATACAGCATCTACTTATTATATTTTACTGTGTGCTTTCTTAGGTCTTTTTGTATTCCAAATAAAACTACTTTTAAAGAAAATTGCTATTGAAATGCATTAACATATTATCCTATATTATCAACGTTAATATGTGAAACTCAGATCTACATGTATGGGAACAAAACAACAGCATTAGGAAATGGCGACAATATATTGCCTCAAAATAGGATAGAATGGGTTAAACGCACAAAAAAAAGTATCGGCGAAAATATTTTTTTAACAGTTTATCAATAGTTGTATAATGTCTGTTTATTTTCATCGTTACTCTTCCATTATACACGACATGAATCACAGAACTGAACCATGTCGAACATGAACTAAACCATGACACTACTGAACCAAACCATGACACCGAATTTTCAGTTATCTTAAATTATGTGCAAATGTAGCTATTTTTCGGAATGATTAATGGCAGGTTTACATCATAATGAAATATGTGATGTAACAGACAGTAAACAAATCACTTTTCTTTATGCATAAGAAAGAATCACAACTTTTAAGTTTTGAAATATGCAAGCATTATCTGTGTCAAATTATTAACTATTTGATACAAATTTTAATGTACAAATATATTTGCCATAAACAAAGATACTTACCAGATTGAATTTATGCTTAGAAGTTCCTTTAGCAAAAAAATAAGGATTGTTTATATTGTGTCATTGTTTGTCATTTAAAAACACTTAACACAGTCATGTCCAACTTAACCAAACTATGACTAAACGCTCACTGATATGACGAGGTTACTACCTGTGATTTATATACAATTGTAAACAACTTCAACAACAATTTCTGAAGGTGAAACTATTTTGCTGTAGTAAAAGTTTTTATAAAGTTGTCAATTTCTCTAACAGGTGTTAGCACAAATTGATTCATCCTTAGAGTTGATGAAGGTTATGACCTTTTAACTTAACCAATCATCTACTGAGATCATCAACAACCACACATTGATTAAATTTTTTTAAACAATGGGTTCAGAAAAATTGCCAAAGAATTAGATAAATTATCATAACATTCTTCATGGTGAAATCTCACTATGTAATACAGCTGCAGTGAAAAAGTACTTACTTCTCCGTCTATCTGTTGTGCATACAACTGGGTCATTACTTTCTCTCATCATGTTGGTGAACTGCTGGGCTTGTCGGCATCTTCTCACCAGTATAAATAGTACAGATAACACTATCAGCAGGAATATAGACACAACTATCGGTATAATAACACTAACTGTTAATGTGTGATCTGACTTGGTGTCATAGGAACCTGAAACAAAATAACACAACTAAATATGAGATTCCACACAACTGTTTATGTTTGTTGGTCTGACCTTGTTTCATACCTTCAACGAAACACAACACTATATATGTAAAGACACTGACTTTCAATTTGTGTTGGTCTGCCCTATTGTCATAGGAACTTTCAATTAGTACACAGTATCTGGTGGATAGTTTTCCGAATGGCAATCATACCACACTCCTTATTTTAATATGTAAATACAATGACTGTTAAAATGTTTTGGTCTGACCTGTGGTCATAGGAACTTTTATCATCATGATTTACTACTTTGGTAAACAAGTAAAATTTTCTTCACATGAATACTGTGGATTTATTTTATTTTCATGGGTTTCAAATTTTGTCCATTAAAGAAATATTGTATTTTTGTGGATATTTGGTTTCGTGGTTATACAATAGTGAGCATACAAACCTATAGAAAATTTGTTCTTCATTGACATTTAAGTTTGTGGTTCATCTGTACCCATGAAATCCATGAAAAATGGTATCCAACGAATAACAATGAATTCACAGTAGTATTTTTTTAGAAGTACAGCAACCTTATCATGTGATTACATGGAACATTGCACCCTTGATGTCCAGTATGATCACATAGTCACATGACTTATGGTAGGTGTAATAACATACCTGAACAACCAATACTTTCATCACTGCCATCCTTACAATGTTCAATAGATTCACAGGCAAGCTGGCCAGGGATACAGTAACCATTCGAACATTTAAAATGTGTATTTGAATTACAACCTGCAAAGAAGAATTTATTGCTTTAATATCTAAACTTTTTTGTGGATTATTTTCATTTATTTTGCAAAAAAGTATGCATGTTTAATATTACATCCTCAGAAATTATGGCGAGGTAGGCAGACAAAACATTTTATTTTCTTAAACATTGTGGAATTATTTGTCTTCAACAAGGGTTTATCAAAAGCATCTATGAATGCAGTATTAAATTGTAAACAATAATGAAGTGCTTTGTATCATGTCAAAGAGTTATTTAGGGCCTCTTTAGCTAATAATAGCTTGAAATCTGTAAGAAATATTCAAAATGTGTTGGACCACTCATGAAAACTCTTACTATCTAACAAATTCTAAGCCAAAAATTGCAACAAAATTGGACTTAAGAAAGAAAGAGTTATAATATTTAAAGTTTATCCCAGATAGGCCTCTTTTATCTCCAGAATTATTAAGGCTACACCTACAAGAACGAAAGATGTGGAGTATACGTTAACAAGAAAACAACCCTAAACTACACAAAAAACCATTTATACTTACAATAACTATCTAGTTTTGCTGAAATCCATCCTATAATTTCAGATATTGCTACATGTATAAAGAGTGCATGTTTGTTTGTCAAGATTGTCATAGTGATTATTGGGGTGTCATCTTCAGGGTCAATATTTTGAAAGTAATAAAATGAGATTCTCATACCTTACAGAAGGGTCAAGATGGAAACTAGCTTCAACTTGAAAACACTAAGGTTAAATGTAATGGTTCCTAACTTTTACTTAATGTATTTTTTTTTACCTGATTCATAATAACTTTTATACGAAGCAAATGCCAACTTGAAAGTAATGGAGTTCTTGTAGATTCCACGAAGTCGTATGTAAAATCCTTCCTTATCATCAAAGTCTCGATAATTGCCACCAAATTTTGGAAATAATGTGCCAACAATCAGCCCATTGGATGTCAACCCTCTGTGAATTTCTACTTTAACATCACCAGAGTTGTTATCACCTGAATAAACTGAAACAAAGAACTCTTGAAAATTTAAACAATAACAGGTTGCTTAACAAAAATCCATTTATAATATATACATTATAATGAAACCTTGTTCAAAATGTAAACACCTGGTTGGTCTCATAAGAAAGCAGCATTTATGAGTAAGAGCAAAGACTGGTCGATCTGAAGTCAGACTTATGTGTCTGAGTAGGGTGGCATGTCAGTGTCTTTTCAAGATAATAGACAACATTCATTTTACCCCTTTGTTCTATTTTTAGCCATGTCAGCCTAAACTTAATACTTCAATAATGATAAGGGCATGGTTCCATTTGGCCCAGTACTTTCAGAGAAGATTATTTAACTAGAGGCTCTAAAGAGCCTGTGTCACTCACCTTGGTCTATGTGCATATTTAACAAAAGACACTCTCCAACAAAGACAAGAAAAGAATTCATGACAAAAATCTCTGTTTAAGTGATCTTGTCTTACTGATCATTTAGTCTGTTTAGTTTCTCTCTATCTTCTTTAGTTTTTGCTCGAAACACAAAAGAGGGAAAAAAATCCTAATTTAAGGACAATCACTCCTATAAAGAGTCAGTCTACTAACTATATCGACAAAATGTGACTTGTTAGTAGATCTTGCCTAGCTGATCATTATTATATATATTTAAGATATAAGGCAAAAGCGCAAAAAATTGGTAAAAATCGTCATCAAAGAGCAATAACTCTAATAAGGAGTCGCCTGATGATTTCAGAACTTGTCTTGCTGATCATATTTCCAATTTAAAGTTTCTCTCTATCTATCATAGTTTTTAAGATAATAGGCAAAAATTTTAAAATTTGTCATTTAAGAGCAATTACTCCTATAATAAGTTGTCTGACAGTTTTGACATATATGGACATTTGGAAGAGCTCAACTTTCTGAACATGTTTGCTTCTGTCAGATTTTCTCTATTTATAATGGTTTTCAAAATAATAGACAAAACTTGCATTTTACCTCCTATGTTCTAATTTTAGCCATGTCGGCCATCTTGCTTGGCAGGCAGGGTCATCGGACACATCTTTTAAACTAGATACCCCAATGATGATTGTGGCCAAGTTTGGTTAAATTTGGCCCAGTAGTTTCAGAGAAGAAGATTTTTGTAAAAGTTAACGACGACGGACGCCAAGTGATGAGAAAAGCTCACCTGGCCACAAAAAGTTAACGCTAGATGACAACAGTCGCCAAGTGATGAGAATCATTTTTTTCCGGCATATTGATATCATCACAAGTCACACATGGTCACACTTCTATACAGTTATAACAGGTACAAAGGTGAGCTGACTCACCAAATGATTTATGTGTACAAACTATACTACAAACTTACTTACCTTGTTACATGCAGTTTAATTGGGTTAAATGACTAATTAAGTTAGGTTTTTGTTTACCTGAAGAGAACCTGTTCAGCTTCATATATGTTCCCTTGTATCCAGGTTGCGTCTTAACAACCCATACACAGTCATATTGATCACTAAAAAACTGTGGTTTAAATTCAATATGTCCACCATCCAATGTCAAATAGTACTTCCCACAATCTGTAATATGAATTATTACATACTGTTTTCAGTAAAATTAATTAACACTTCATGCAATTAAGATAAATTAACTGCTGACACAGAGATATGTATCACCTGTATGAAATTTTGATAGTAAAATGCAAATGTTGATATTAAAATGGCAATGCTTTTAAAATATGTAAACTATTACAGAACTTTAAAAGTCAATGAACCATGACTGAAGATTCAGGGCCAAATAATCTCTATTAAAATGAGATATGCTAATACAACTGCATACCAAATATTATTGACTTATCAACTGACCTAATCACAAACTTTAACATGTAAATGAACTTTATCTAAAGGGTGGGGCAATAGTATAGAAGTCAGTAGACCATGACTGAAGGGGAGTTGGTCCAATAATTTTCACGGATAAAAAATTTGCAAATGCTCCTTCAAATGCATACCAAATATCATTGACTTACTATTTGTGGTTCCACTTAAACTGACCTAATCACAAACTTTAACAAATTGTTGAAGCTGCCTCTTCGTTATGCTCGAAAAAGCATGCCTATGTAACACTTCGTTGAGGAAAGATAAAAACTAGACATTACATTCAAAACAAGAAATGATTGTAACAGGATGCTGTTACGAAGTCTCCCAAACGAAGCTCCCATAATTCGTAATTCCCAGGGTCGCCTGTCCATTGAAAATTGGTTTGGTCCAGTAAAGTTAAATGCATTAGTGATGCCTGGGGACTAACCTTGTATATCATTCAAATCATCTTGGCATGACAAACCAGAATATATATGGTTTAGGGGTGGGGATCTCAACCATTTACAAGATACTAGAATATTGGGGGTGGGGAGGAACCCCTGGGGACTGGCCCTATACGTCATTCAAATGTTCATTACATGACGAACAGGAATATATATGGTTTAGGGGTGGCGATCTCAACCATTTACAAGATATTAGAACTTTCTTAAATGGCAAGGGGTGGGGGTGACCCCTGGAGACTAACCCTGTATTTCATTTGATGTGCTTTATCATGACAAACCAGAATATATATGGTTTAGGGGTGGGGATCTCGACCATTTACAAGATATTAGAACTTTCTCAAATGGCAAGGGGTGGGGGTGACCGCTGGGGACTAACCCTGTATAACATTTGATGTGCTTTATCATGACAAACCAGAATATATATGGTTTAGGGGTGGGGATCTCGACCATTTACAAGATATTAGAACTTTCTCAAATGGCAGGGGATCGGGATGACCCCTGGGGACTAACCCTGTATATCATTCAAACCATCTTAGCATAACAAACCAGAATATATATGGTTTAGGGGTGGGGATCTTGACCACTTTCAAGATATTAGAACTTTCTTAAATGGCAGGGGGTGGGGGTGACCCCTGGGGACTTACCCTGTATAACATTTGATGTGCTTTATCATGACAAACCAGATTATATATGGTTAAGGGGTGGGGATCTCGACCATTTACAAGATATTAGAACTTTCTAAAATGGCAGGGGGTCGGGATGACCCCTGGGGACTAACCCTGTATATCATTCAAACCATCTTAGCATAACAAACCAGAATATATATGGTTTAGGGGTGGGGATCTTGACAACTTTCAAGATATTAGAACTTTCTTAAATGGCAGGGGGTGGGGGTAACCCCTGGGGACTAACCCTGTATTTCATTTGATGTGCTTTATCATGACAAACCAGAATATATATGGTTTAGGGGTGGGGATCTCGACCATTTACAAGATATTAGAACTTTCTCAAATGGCAGGGGATCGGGATGACCCCTGGGGACTAACCCTGTATATCATTCAAACCATCTTAGCATGACAAACGAGAATATATATGGTTTAGGGGTGGGGATCTTGACAACTTAGAAGATATTAGAACTTTCTTAAATGGCAGCGGGTGGGGGTGACCCCTGGGGACTAACCCTGTATTTCATTTGATGTGCTTTATCATGACAAACCAGAATATATATGGTTTAGGGGTGGGGATCTCGACCATTTACAAGATATTAGAACTTTCTCAAATGACAGGGGGTGGGGATGACCCCTGGGGACTAACCCTGTATATCATTCAAACCATCTTAGCATGACAAACCAGAATATATATGGTTTAGGGGTGGGGATCTTGACCACTTACAAGGTATTAGAACTTTCTTAAATGGCAGGGGGTGGGGGTGACCCCTGGGGACAAACCCTGTATTTCATTTAATGGGCTTTATCATTTAGAACATTTTCAATTAAAAAGTTTGTGTCTATCACGAACGGTTTTCAATTTATAATCATTTGAAAATTTAAAAAAATAAAATCCCATAGGGTTCTATAGTAAAACCTCTTTTCTTTTTGCCCCTCAAAGTACCCCTTTATAAACCCCATTGCAAAAACAAAACCCTGATTGCACCACTAGACATGTTAGTCTAACATATTGTGAAACCCTAAGTTAATCCGACAAGCGGTTTTGGAGAACGGGTGCGGACAAGTTCAAATTTAAAAGCGGCGGAAGAAGAAGAAGAAGAAGAAGAAGAAGAATAATAATAATAATAATAATAAGAACTGAGCAAAAACAATAAGTCTTCCCAAACTTCGTTTGGGAGACTTAATTAAAACTGTAGCATCAATTATTAAGAATATAATTTCAAAGAAAAATAAATTAAGGTGTCTGCAGAAAGCTCATTGTCTTGATATTTATAAATTAATAGATGGATAAATGTTTCACTTCCAGTGGCAACTATTACATACATTTTCAAGACAATATATATAAATGGCATGAATGGGATTATGACTACTTTGAAGAAATTTGAAACTATGATATTGGTGTAGAATAGCATAGAAAGAGGAGATTTTGACATCTACTGCTGAGTATCATAACTCTCTGTGACAAAATTCAAGTTTTATAGTTAACACCATGAAGACTAAAATATATTTATAAATGTCTCATTTCCCCAATCAAACTAATATTATACAAAATACTTAACATAATAATGGCTCACTTAGTCAAAAATATATTACAGTTGACAAAAAACATTGACATCTGGTCATTAGTTTACCGATATTGTGTACAGAGTTGACCACACTTTGCTGACCTAAGGCCATGACCTGTTAATGACCATCTTGTTGTCATGTGGTCTATAGGTACCTGTATATGACCATCTAATTGTCATGTGGTCTATAGGTACCTGTATATGACCATCTTGTTGCCATATGGTCTATAGGTACCTGTATATGACCATCTTGTTGTCATGCGGTCTATAGGTACCTATGTATGACCATCTAATTGTCATGTGGTCTATAGGTACCTGTATATGACCATCTTGTTGTCATGTGGTCTATAGGTACCTGTATATGACCATCTTGTTGTCATGTGGTCTATAGGTACCTGTATATGACCATCTAATTGTCATGTGGTCTATAGGTACCTGTATATGACCATCTTGTTGTCATGAAGTCCAATGAAGCCTAAATTTTGTGATCTAGAGAGGCCTGTATATAACCATCTTATTGCCATGTGCTCAAAAGAAAGTGAATGTCTCTTTCATACTCTTTCATTTTATATTCTTTCTTTTTCAAATAAATTTCCATGCAATAAAATCTTTTGAAGTAACATAGTAACTACAAACTACTTTATTAAAATGTTTTGAGTGTTATTTGTACTTACTAGTATTTGGTTTTTGATAGAATTCATGCGCTGAAATAAAAAAAAACTGCCATTAATTTTTGGAAGAAATTTTATGAAATAAATTCATCATTTTTAAAAATTTCTTTCAGAAAGAAAATTTCTGTCAGGTCTTAGTTTCGTGAACAACAAATACATGAATTTCAATGAACAAAATGGACTGCATTAGAACATTAAAAGTTTTTGAGAATTTGGTATAAATTTCCACAAATATACCTTTTCAGAAAGAAGGACGATGATGGATGATTAATGTCCAGAGGCAAATTAAATGCATATTCAGGCCGTGAACAAATTAAGGCCTTGATCATATTAATGCAAAATTAATATGAACCCTCCTTTGTACTAGACCAACATACTAGGCCGGATTTTTAACATGCTACTTCACAATGGAACAGTCTGCAGAAAGACAGGTAATGATCTGGACACATTAATTATTTTGAATCCTAGCAAACTAGTGTTTGCTCTTACTCCTATATCCTGCATGCTTAGTGGAGAAGCAGAAATACCAATTTTAAAGTATTAGGTTGACAAGGCCGGAGATTGAACTAATGACCTCCTGCATCATCTGAGGCTTTTAACCTTTTCAGAAAGAACAGTAATGTCCTTATTATAAACAATGAATTATAAAATCATATTTTACAAAACTTACTACAACAAACAACAAAGTAATGTAAGAGAAAAGAAAGGATATGGGGTATCCATCCATGAGACAAAATCAGTATGTGCGCAGCAAAAACCACAAAAATCATAGTAATGTGCCCATTATAACATCATGTAACTTAAGGTGAATTCCTGGTTGTGTTTGGAAAGATGTAAAGTGACTTTTGCATCATTTATGCATTTAAGCAGATTATCCTTTTACTCAACTTACAAAACAATAGTTATAAATAATTTCAGACATAGTACTTCTTTAATGTAGGCTTCCTGTTTTATCTGAGAAATAATTGTGGTTAGATTTTTATTATACCTGCACAACAAAAAACATTTAGCATTCAAATCATTCACATTTTTGTCATTAAGGTTGTGAAAAGGGTTAAAAATTTTAAGTCAATATTTCTTCATGTTTATCACTTAGGCAGGTCATTTTACCTCATTTCAAAGGTCTGCATTTCTCACCTGCTATGAATCTATAAGAAGCTTTGAAACCCAAATTATTTCTGTAAGATGATCCAGGCCAGCCAGTGTCAAATATTAACTGTAATTCATTCTTATCTGATATAACAACTGGTCGTGGAGTAGCATCATTTATGATGATAGGATATCGGTAATCTGTACTTGGATTAAACTGAAAAATACAAAAATCAATTGATACAAACCTAAGTCATCTAAAAAACACAGCATATTTAAATGTAGGTATTAACTAATGCCCCAGGTCCTCATTTATTTCTCACAACGGCTGATATAGTTTGTCAAAATGATAAGAGAAATACCAAAAAATAATTAATCCATGAGTTGTCTTAAATTTCAATAAACCAATGCTTTGAAGGATAATTAGACTAATAAAAAACAAAAACTAATCCTGCTACAATATGGGAATAGTAATAAAATCTAGATACAATTCTTTCTGATGTATAAATGATATGCTTACGTATAGAGCACCTCCAGGAGCTATGTCAAAATCATCAAACTCTATAACTACTTTATCTGTTGGATTACTGCTTCTAAACACATATGTTGCCTGCTCTCCATTCTGTATATATGGTTTAGGAAAAAATGGAGACATCACTTTTCCTGCTTTGTTGCGGAATGAATCTCCTTCATATACAAAATGACGTTCTACAAGAGACCAGTTATTAAAATGAAGACATTTATATCCAAACAAAATGTTATTCTAATATGTTCTGCTCTGTTAACAACGGTACACTGCCAGCATATAGTATTATACAGAAGCACCTGAGTCAATACTGTTAAGACATATACTGCTAATGTATGCTGTTAGAAAAGAGAAAAATGTACATCTACACTTTTAAATTGCATTTCAATCTTCAAACATTTGTGAAGTAACAAAATATTGTAAATCAACTTATTCTGAAATGCTAGACAAGGGCCAAATTAGTGATGAATATATATAAAATAAAAGTTTTATTTCACTTATGATTTATGTTTCATTCAAACATGGATACCACTGGCATTGCTACACAATATTTTCTGAGGAGTTTATTTACAATAAGATATAACAGGACTTTGAATTAGGTTGATAATAATGTTGATATGAGCACTAATTCCTTAATTTTACTTATCATGAGTTCAAATGGTTAGTTCTGAAAGAAATCATGGATAAATAAATTATTATTTAAATTACTAGGAACTCAATATGTGTGACTTCGAGAATTTTGTTCATTGACACATTTTTTAGCAAAAAGTTGGAATATAGGGCAGAGACTTACATCAGACTGGTTTTAATTCTCAGGTCAAAGAATTTTGCAAGGAGGTATCAGTTCTGTTGGATGTTTACTCAGGTGTTCCCTATTACATAACAGACTTACATTGACCAAAGAAAAGATACAATATAAACAACAGACAATTAAAATAAGTACAACATCACAACAAATTATAAATGTAATTTACACTAATATATTTATAATCAAGAATCAGAACACAAGGCAAACATGGAACAAATGACAGTTAAACATATTCAGGACCATTTCCGAGAATTTTGTATAAATTGTATATTAGTCAGTAAAATTACAAAAACTCTTTAAAAGATCAAATGGTTATCATGCATCATAAAGTGAAGATGACAGCAACAGATATTTGGCTTAATATTAAACACATCTTTTCTATGAATTTGAAAAATCACAAATAACTATAAATCTGTCTGTCAGATATATATATCAGTAATAATATATTTAAAATGTCTATGCAAAATTTATTCTAGTCCTTTAAACCTGTCACTTTTAAGGTAAACTCCAAAACCTGTCAAAATTACTTTGAGATCGTAACCCTAATATTTTAATGTATTATTATTTTACACACATTTTTCAATTATGACATGGTTAAGACATCAGAGTGATAACAATATATTCCATTACATTTGTTTACTTAAAAGAGACTACACTGTATCATCATATTCTTTTATCATTAAAATTGGCAAAGATTGAAAAAATTTACTATATTGGCAATTTTGGTAGTAAAATAACTACTCTCATCACATATTTGTCTTTGAATACATTGGGTTTTGCATATGTAATAAATGCTGATTTGCCCAAGTCATATTGCTGCCTGGGGCAAATAACCCAGGCCAATATGGGCTTCCAATACAATCTCAATGGGAGAGCAATATTGGCCCTCATGCGCAAAATCCATATCGGCAATCTTCCGGTTTGGAGCCATGTACAATCTTTGAGACTTACTTGATTATAATGTAACCCTGCCTTTTATAAAACTGTTTGAACAGTGCTGCGTTCAAAGAAATTAACCCATCTTTATCATTGAAGTCCTATATCATGACGTCATTGCTAGAAACAATACATATTTGTCGATTGTCAGAGAAGACTAGATGTGGTTGCAGAAACTATTGAGGAATTATCGGATCGTTATAACATGCAAAAAAAAAAAATAATAATAAAAATATAGTCTTTATTCAATTGTTTGTTCTATTTTCACGTTCCAATGTCATATGTTAAATATGTGATAAATAGTGACATCCATCAACTATTATCAGCAGTATTCGGGACCTTGTGATAAAGCCCTCGGTCGGATATGGGAGTCTCAGGTTGATACTAGGGCCAACATGGAAAATGCCATGTAAAAATCTATAATTATCATAGCCCTTCGCAGGGAAGAATAACAAATATTATTATCTTGAACAATTGTGGTTATTCATGTATATGGTTATTTTATGAATTAGTTCTTAACTTTGAACTGGCAGCTCACTCTAGAATGTAATAACTTATCCATTGTATGAGAAGAGGGCTACTCCTTTACACTTTGAGAAATTAAAAAAGGCTTTCACATTTTATTCGATACTGTCTCATAAGCATTTGCCACACGCCCCCTCCCCCCATCTATATAGTAGGCTTGATTCCAATCGTTATCTTTCTGTCCAAGTGTTTGGTTTTAGGTGATGTTATTTGATGTCATTTATGCGTTTGTTGGGCATAAAATCTACTTCAGTACGTTTAGCTAAGGAACGAATATTCTAATGGGGATAACTTATTCATGACTGCTTCAATACCTGTTTTTAAGTGATAAAATTTATAAATTGATTATGTACATAAGAATATGTGTGTTTGAAAAATGTCAAGCAGTCACAATTACTTTATCAGTTCAAAGATGCAGGGATCCAGTTTGCCCATAAAACATTTAAATGAAGTGAGAAATCAGCGTATAGTAAAAGAGTATTTCTGGTAATGGAAATGATATGGATCAAACTTATTGACCAAGTTCATTTTTATTTTAATGTTCTACAGTGTTGACATCATGGGACCAACATTGAACTTACCAGCAGCTGTAAAACTAAGTTGCATGTCGTGATTTGTAACTCTGTATGGCAAACAGCTACATATAATACACTCGATGTGGTATTGTGAACTTACCAACAGCTGTAAAACTAAGTTGCATGTCATCATTTGTAACTCCTGTATGGCAAACAGCTACATATAACACACTTGATGTAGTATTATAATCCCTCCAGGTACTGTCCCAGATATATTTCATTGTAGCATTGTAATCATTGTAGTAATATCCATCAAAAACATAGGCATAAAAACATCTGGAAAAAATGTAAATCATGTGAGACTTCTGTCCCTTAATATTGATTGATTTCAGCTTAACTTCGCATCAGTGTGAAGTGCTGTCCCCTATCATAATAATATACTTTTTAAAATTGAGCATACATTTTTAAAAAGTATTAGATAAAAGAAAAAATTGGTGGTGTTACATCTTAAGAATATTACCCAAATAACTTGCCCTATACATAAGTTATATCCTGCCAAGTTATCTAACATATATCTTGATGTGCCCAGTGATTGTCTAAATGTTTGTATTGTTTTTACATGCTTCAGTGTGATTGTCAGGCTAAATTATGACAGTAAATGCTAGGGGCCTTCTTAACTTGCAGTGAGGTGAGAGTTTTTGCTCCGTGTTGAAGGCCTCACTGTGACTTTGAGATGAAGAACAGCATATGTATATGTACAGATTTTGTGTCATCGATAGATACTCCATATCCTTTCTTTTCTATAATTTTTTCAAAATGATAATATTTTTATAGTGATGTGATATTAATGTAAATATTTGTTTATGTAATTTTTTGTGGACTGTTATTTTTTACATTGATGCTAAACACTGACTTATAGCAGTATACTGTTTTTACGTTCATATTGTTTCTGACTTCTGAGTCTACCTCTCAGCACCTGCTAATGACTGGTAAATACTAACAGTGTAAATATAGTTCATTGTTTACATTATTCTGGTGAATTCTTGCAAAATGTTTCTCTTTTCAGTACCTTGATTTTTTTTTAACTATATTACAAAAACTGAGAGCAAAAGAGTAAAAACATTTCCATGTGGACATGAATTCTTTTTTTGGGACTGTTGTATGGAGAAATATAAAAAAAAATACAAACCCATCCATGCATGCTTGTGGTGGATAATTCCAAAAACATTTATTGTTAAATGTAAATGTTGTTTTAGGTTTGATAGACATGTAGCAATTTGGTTTTGTCTGAATACGCAAGACAGATGGACTGGATTTATCTGTTGCTGTTCCCTTGAATACTACTGTCCCTGTGTCTCCCTCATTACGTAAGGAAAGTCTATCTACTTCAGAAACATCTATATCACCATAATCTGTAATGTACAAAAGGTTAGATTCAATAGATGTCTTCTTTTTGTTGTCCCTCTGTATGAAAACAAGAAGAAAATGGCTAAGTGTTAAAAAAAACCAGTTTAATCCAACCACATGTTCATTTGTCAGTCACAAGTCAGGAACCATGTCTGTGGTTGTCTTTAGTTTTAATTCAATGTTTATTGACCTTTAAGGAATGCATTGTTAATGGCAGATCTTTGATATAAAATAAGGAGATGTGGTATGATTGCCAATGTGACAACTATCCAGGAGAATTTATATGAAGCAAATCTAAGCAACTATAAATCACTGTACCACCTTCAACAATGAGCAATACCTATACCAGACACTGGTAGTCAGCTATAAAAGGCCTTGACATGAAAAAATGTGAAACAATTCGAATGAAAAACTCCAACAGCCTGATTGGCCTTTGATAAACTGTTAAATTTATTTTCAATTTTACATGATTAAGATCATGTTGATAAAGACCATTTGTTGACCTCTGGGAGACTTTTGGGATTGCTGTGCATTGTTGGGTTGCTTTCTCATTGATGTATACCCCACATTTTGGTTTATTCAGTACAGCCAAGAATGAAAATTAGGTAAAATTTCTATTTGATGTGTCAGACTGACATTGGCCTCTAAATTTTTTTATATAAATCAATGATGTAAAAAATCAATTGTTGTGGAATCATAATGAAAGTAGTGGTAAATATCACAAATATAAATGTTATTAACAATTCTATAATTGTAGTTTAATGGGTTGCGTTGTGTATTGTTAATCGTGATCATAAGTAGATTAAGGCGTTATAGATATAAATATGTCTGCCATTACAACTTTTTCTATCAAATAATAACCACAAAAGGATACGTTTAACGTTAGTGCAATTCTTAACGATAATTTGTTATCAGTTAAAAAATAACATGACAAAAGAATTTTATGTCGACATGAAATGACCCATTATGTTCAATATTAAAAGTACAATAACAGCAGTAATATTATGTACTACTTGTCTTCCAATCAACCACTGGACATTAAGCAACCAACAATCAATCGATCAATCCACTATCTCATCTACCATGAACATGAGCACTGGTATCATAGTGTGTGTTGTATTGGGGTGGGGGTTTAACTCATGTAACATCCCTGAGTAGCTATATAGTCTTCCATTCCTTTACTTACCATATTGTGATTTCACAACAGATAATGCAACAGTTGTATATACCAAGTAACCTGAAAATTGAAATGAGAAGGTATTCAATATTTATGCAACCGTTGAAAATCCTTATCTCAAATCCCATGCCTGAAATTTTGTATCATGCATGTACACAATGTATGTGTCAACTTTTCTAAACTCCAAAATGAGAGATTTCCCTCTGGGAGAAATTATACAGAGAATGATTATCATAGAACCCATTTCACATTGTTTTTCATATTTTTTTATGCTCTTTTCTTAAGTAAAGATATTTGATTGATATTTGTCTGCCTCAGTCATATTTTATGTGGATTTTTTTAAGGCACTGAATCATCATCTGTCCATCAACTCTTTTCAACTTCTAAAACAAGTCCCAGGCCTCAATTTTTAAGCCCCTGTTTATTACTTTGAGATGCTCGACTCCAAACTAGTTTAACCCTGGCACATGCTGTATGTGCCTGTCCCAAGTCAGGAACCTGTAATTCAGTGGTTGTCGTTTGTTGCTGTATATCATATTTGTTTTTCGTTCATTATTTTGTAATTAAATCAGGCCGTTAGTTTTCTCTTTTGAATTGTTTTTCATTTGTCATCTTGGGGCCTTTTATAGCTGACTATACAGTATGGGTTTTGCTCATTGTTGAAGGCTGTACAGTGACCTGTATTTGTTCATATCTTTGTCATTTGGTCTCTTGTGGAGATTTGTCTCATTTACAATCATACCGCATCTTCTTATTTTTATAATTAATAGTTTGTAATGAAATATGCTCTGTCAGAAAGGTTTAATGAGACAAATATTTTGGTTCAGACAAAAAAAATGAGGGCAGCTTTATTGACTAAATAAAGTATATTTTAAATTGTGTACATGTATTTCATTCAAGGTCTGTTATTGTTTCTATTTTTGGGAGAATGGCATATCTATGTTAAAAAATGATACATGTATATAAAACGAAAGTTCAGTACTTACATGTGAAGGCAAATATCTTCATGGTGGCAGGAGGATTTTACTTAACCTCTTTTCCATATCTGTAAGTAAAGAAGTTGCAATTTATTTATGAATATAAAAAGGTCTGTTGAATGTGGTCACTGCATACAGGACTTGTCTGATCATAATCTTAGGACTCACCATTCGGAGATTAGTAAAGAGTCCAGGTTTATCAATGAAAAATCTTACTTCATGTAGTATCCTAAAGGTGGACTGATGGGACAAAAGGTGATACATGTACATGTATACATTTTATTAACTATAGGGAGATTTGACATAAAACCTTTCATTTTGTTTTCTCTAAATATCCTACATGTATTCTGTTTTTTGCATTTCAATTATTCATATTTAAAACAAGAATGTGTCCATAGTACACATATGCCCCACACGCACTATCATTTTCTATGTTCAGTGGACCGTGAAATTGGGGCCAAAACTCTAATTTGGCATTAAAATTAGAAAGATCATATCATAGGGAACATGTGTACTAAGTTTCAAGTTGATTGGACTTCAACTTCATCAAAAACTACCTTGACCAAAACCTTTAACCTGAAATGGGACAGTATCACTCTCTATGTTCAGTTGACCGTGAAATTGGGGTCAAAACTCTAATTTGGCATTCAAATTAGAAAGATCATATCATAGGGAACATGTGTACTTAGTTTCAAGTTGATTGGACTTCAACTTCATCAAAATCTACTTTAACCAAAAACTTTAACCTGAAGCGGGACAGACGGACTAACGGACGAAAGAAAGGATGCACAGACCAAAAAACATAATGCCCCTAGGTGGGGCATAAAAAAGACAATCAATGTTAATATTATTTTAATCATTAACCCTCTTTCTGCCGGAGGGACATATGTGTCCATATTTTTAATTTATGCAAGCACCTGTTCATTACTGTAGCTCTTTCAGATAATTTATCAAAGATTATACAGTGCCTTCAATGGGTCTCCAATGTAGTCATTACAGTGTGATGTCATATATTGAATTACATCCTAGCTTAGCATTTGATGTCACAGACGTCTGGCTACCATATTTTCTGGCACAAGAAATGCAATCACATCAAATTGGAGGTAGGGTTAATCAGGTAACTGCCAGTAAGACAGACATTAAATTCCTGACTCGAGAATCAACCAAAATCAACATCCAAAATGAATTAAGTGTTTTCGAACAGAAAATGATAAATGAATGACCATGTTAACTTGTATAAGTTTTTCTAAAATACAATGTGCCAATATTACAATATTGCATATATCTTGTCATGAGGGAAAATAGGCCATTTCTTGAATCATGTCTTTCACCGGAAAAGATCGTCAATTACCAGATAGAAGGCACGCCTATATCCCTGCTCTATTAAAGTTTCAAGAACTTTCAGAATCATCATTCTGCAGAGTAGTCTGGAAATAATTTATGTTCCGTAGGTACGTAATCTTAATTCCCGTATGACTGAAGGGAGGATGACCAACTTATTAGATTTTAATTTCCCAAATATTTTGTGCAGTATCATTAAAGATCAAACTTTTTCAACCGTTCGCTCAACATGTGTTGGAAGTGACGATGCCTACATTTTGGTCACTTGGTGATGGAAGTCATATGTCAGATTCTACTACTACTGTATCCCGGAACTGGCATATTATTTCCTACTTAAGGGACATATATTGTTCCCCTACTTGGCTATTTATTAACATTGATGCAGCTGGTGCACTCTAAATTCACAGATTTAAGACAAGTTTTTTATATATATCATGTATATACTGAATACACTAACTGAATTTCGGTATATACATATATTTGAAAAAATCTCGTCTGGCACCTGTGTCCAAATTGCGTAATCGTCAGACGAGACCAAACGATGTTCAAATTTTTGATAATAAAATGTTAATATTTATTAGAAAAACTGCTTTTTACAATGAAAAATAACGAAAGAACGAAAAAGGAAAGGAAATTAGACTTTCATGTCAGGAAACTGGTCTGTTGAGTATGTGTCGGCTATCCCCCCTTTTTTGTATTGAGATAAGCAGTTATCGGATATCTTATTTTAAAGATTTTTCGGAAATATGATACTAACGTGTATAATATTAATTTGAACTGAACCATTCTACAATAGTGTATTTGCTGTCCGGTTAAACCATGGTTTGTATTAGAAATTTCTACAGGTAACTCGGAAGTGTTCCACCATTTTGTTTTTATGATGTCATGTGACAGGTAATATATTTCTCCTTTGGATAAAAAAAACATAAAAAAGGCCTAGGCATAGGAAATTTCTGAAAAATATGTCCATCAAACATGTATATGTAGCACATGGACAAAAGTCATTCCCTTTTCAATATTTTCCAAAAATTACCTTAAACTCATTTTCTTAACCGATTTGCATCACCGTGAAAGATCATGAAAAATTAATAAACTCAGAAATATTTTACAACTGCAGTTTTGTTTAAATCGTAATTTACCACAATTCATATTTTAATCATGAACTTAATCTTTTGACGTCGCAAGCTATTACATATATATATTAATTTCCACTGGGGTAGGAGCTGGGAACCCCCCTTATTTTTGGCCCCCAAAAAATGAAAATAAAAAATGAAGAAAACAAAGTACACTGACTCTATAGAAAAGCTTTTTTTTCGCTTGTAACATTCAGAAGACAAGACAAAAAAATGAGAAATTAAAATATGTTACAAACATCTATTTCATACAAAATGCATAACCATCATGGAATATTTTCAAATTGTAAAACAAATATGTGGAGAAATAAAACAAAAAATCAGTTATACGATTTTTACGGATGTGTATAGTTAAGGATGGGAGATATTTTATTATTGGTTTTATTTTGCGCGATCCGGAAACTAGCGTCGGTGCTTGTAAGATTTTGTTAAGTTTAAACATCTATTTTTTTCAGTTTTGTTAGAAAAAATGAATAATAATTTTCTCTGTTTTGTCACAAAATGTCTCTACTTTAGAATTTAACAAAACTTTGTGATACAAATTTTATGCAGTACACACTTGTGATTATTGTAATGTCACATGTTTTTATATATCAATTGCCAACATTTGATAAATTTCTCAGATCAATAAACTGAACTGCCAGCTGTTTCATATGGTTGAATCATATATGGTTGACAAAATGGAGATACGTATATGCATTGGGATTATTTTGTTTTATATTCCCAAGTTTTCTTCATCAACACATTATCAAATACAAGAAACGAAAGGTAGGATTATTTGGATTTTTTTTTTAATTTTCAAAACTTTTCATGGTTCTAATAACATGCAAAGTTTAAATTTTGCTGATTTTATGTAAATGCGCAACATATAAACATCAACACAAAAGTTGATTTGTAAATATGACATGGCAGCTGACAATCTATATTGTTTGTTTTATCAAAAAAAAACTTTATGTGTAACTCTATTGAGTGAGTTGTATAGACCTGTTGAAAGTTGACTACCCTATGTAGTTATTTTGTACTATTAAAGTTTTTATATTTTCTCAAACTGTTTCCGGCAATGTCCACGCCATCACTGTCTGTGTAAAAGGGCATATATAGGCAATATGCGTCTGAACACCGTATATTCATAAAGTATTTTGATACACTTGTGTCAGAGACATAGACCTGTTTGAAGCTAGAGTGTGATATGAAAAAGTTTGAGAGGTGCATTTGTATAATAAAAAGACTCAAAATTCGTTTCTGCTAGCAATCAATGATTAGTCTATACAATAATTTCCATTATTAAGCAATATCTGTATGACACAAAAACAAATCTAATTATATTTGAACTGTCTGGCATTAACATTATGTATATGTATATTTGAACTATTTGGCATGGTTCGAACCATATGCACGTGTATATTTGAACTGTCTGGCATGGTTCGAACAGGCCTGTTTTCTTTAAACTTGCAACGTTGCAAAAGCATGATCTTCCAAAAGCAGTACTGTGTATACATTTTTCTCAACTTTCTTCTCTGGAAATGATCATTATTTCGAAGTTTGTCAACACTGATTTAATGTGACACCTGTTACTTAAATCTGTAAATAAAACAAGAATAATGTTATCAGGAAAATTATGTACAAATAGATGTTTATCTTTTTAACGGATACGAAACTGTATAACGCGTCTACAGCTGTCGTTTTCCCCAGTTTATAGAATATGTACATGTATTATAAATAATTATACTTGATGACAAAATGAACATATCCCTGGTCCTGGTCACAGCCGTAATTTTAGTAACCTGCTGTTATCATAAATGAGCTTTATGGCTCATTGTGCATGTATGCATGTCAATAATGACCAAGGACGACGACACGAGTTTTCATAAAATAACCAATATTGATTTTGTAATATATTAAAAACGGTCTAATATGAATATTCGTAAATGTGGTTCCAAGCTATTACACGATAAAATCAAGTTTTATTACTGCAGTTTTGTAATTAATGTTTAGAATTTAATCAATAATACTATAAAATTATATGCAAATTGTGGAGTTTATATATTTTGTTTTCACAGTTAAAACAGAATAGTTTTATCTCCAGCAATTCTGGTAATATATAATACAAAAATATATACCATACCATTGTTATATTACCATTATTAAAAATATAGGACTGTATTTCGACACTCCAAATAAAGACGGTCAGTTGTATCATTGGCCCGAAAATCCGTTATTATATATATATGTATGTTGCTAAATACAAAGACCCAAATTCACTGATCTTCGCCAGTGCTTTTTCACGGTTTCTGTTTGTTGTTATCTCTTAGTTTTGTTTTGTTTTGATAACGAGTTAGAAAGGTTAAGTCATCCTCTTTGTCCTAGAATACTGAGATCAATTCTAATATCAAGACCGAAAAGGATAACGGTCATTGTATGACCCTTCAGATTTCAATAGCTGTGAGAAAATACTCTAAGATTTTCAGTCCTTATACTGATGGTAATTTGATAGTCTAAACATTTATTGAACAGAAAAAATTCCACTGATTTATTAGTTTTGATATTTTTTTCACAGTTACGTATATATTCAGATTCATACTATTTTGTATTTCTCACGCATCTAGCTTTATCAAAGGGTAAGTTTGGAAGTATGTAGAAATACATAGCTTACGTGGTTTTGTTTATGTATACACTGTAGTAATTTCCATGGAATAAAGGATTTATTGCTTAAGATGACAATTCTTTTACAAATTTTAGAATTCCGAACTCAAATCTTGAAATTATGATAGAAAGATAGAAACTATAAACAGCTATAATAATCAGCAAAACAAGATTAAAAAAAGTCAAAATCATGACAGAAATCTGAATTGAAGTCTGTATAGGTCTTATTGCCCATTTTGACATTTTGGCAATTAATTGACAGTTATAATAGATACAGAGAAACTTTGACGAGCAGTGATTATTAGTACAAAGGGTTCTCATGATTAATGGTTTAAATGTCAACTGAATACAAAAGGGAGAACTCCAATTGCAAACATTTAATGCATATTCAGGACGAGAGAAAAAAACAATTAGAAATTTGTAAAAAAGGTTGGTTCTGAAAAGTGGGTCGATAGGAATGAAGGGGTGGAAATTTGGACTGCCACTGGAAATGATGGTATAAACATGAAGAGAAGAAGATGTTTCCATAAGTTCGAAACTGATCATAAATGAGTTAGTTAGCTTCAGATGAAAGTTAAGTTTCACTAATGTTTATTTTCTTCCGTATGTACCGTATAGAAGAGTATTGTACTTTTTATCAGTAACTTCCGATGAACGAAAAGAGTGAGATATCTTTAGAACAAGAGTTTTAAACTTCCTTTAAACAGGATATTTTTTTCTCTCCAATTTTAAAATACTTTTAAAATAAGAATAAAGTTACAGGAGTGTTGATTTTTCCTCTGGATGAAATCTAAACAAGTGTTTAGCTTTTTTTATTTTTAAATTTTCATTTCAAAGGAAGAAAAATCAGACAAAAATATGATCGTCGATATACAACTTCACATAATCTCGGAGAGGATTCTCAGTATGCTCTTGATGAAGGAGCACGTTTCAATCGCAGTAAAATCGGTACATCAAAACGTTTATACATTTTCAAAGTATGCATTCCTGCTTTAAATGGAATTACAGACGTTTTTACTCTACTTTAATTGTTTAATCCCGAAAAAAAATATCCCTTACTGTACATCTTCATCTAGTTCGGTTCACTGATACTGTGGACTTTAACTTAAATCTACTAAGCCAGGTAGAAGGAGCTCACGGGTAGTAACCTCGTCATATCGAGAAGCGTTTAGTACAGTGATTTTGTCATAGTTTGGTTAAGATTAGCATGGTTGTGTTAAGTGTTTTTGATGACAAACAGTGTCAAAATTTAAACATTCGAATAGTTTTTTAAAGGAACTAATGACAACAAATTCAAGCTGGTAAGTATCTTTGTTTATAGCTAATATGTTAGTACATCAAAATTTGTATCATATAGTTATTAATTTGACACAGAATAATGCTTGCGTATGTCAAAATTTAAAAGTTGTGATTCGTTTCTAATGCATAAAGAAAAGTGGTTTGCTTACTGTCTGCTACATCACATATTTTGTTATGATATAAAACTGCCGTCAATTTTCCCGAAAAACAGCCCCTACTGCACACAATTTGAGATTACAGAATATTCGGTGTCATGGTTTAGTTCATTCGTGTCATGGTTTATTTCATGTTGAACATGGTTCAGTTATGTGATTCTATTCGTGAATGAAGGAAGAGTAACGATCAAAATAAACATCCATTATATATATTGAAATACTCTTTTTTAAATCGTTTTATTTGGAATACAAAAGGACATATATACGCACATTCAATGTAGTATTATCCATCCAAGACCAAAATGACGTAGATGTAAGCAACTATATGTCGTCGTACGGCCTTCAACAATGAACAAAATCCATACCTCTTAGCAAGCTATAAAAGGCTCCGACAAAATTATATGTAAAAAAATATAAATGAGAAAACCAGTGTATACAATATTACAAAAACATAGTCATTTCTATTCGTTCGTAATAATAATTGATAAAAGTGGACATTAAATCGGCTTCATTCTAATTCGGAATTGTGATTTTTCATATATTTAAATTCGGAACTTGTGTGTATTTTTTTTATTTTTATTTTAATTTTACTAATAGTTTATAAACCAAAGTTTTAACTGTTGTCCATGTCACGCGTTAACCGTTTTTGTTTCGTGGATGGTTGAAGACTTATTGTGTCCTCTTGATATCGTTTGGTTAGTTTTGTAGTTGGGATACTAGAGCATGGGCGTATAACCCCACATCTCCTTTTATTCATCTGGTTCAAAATAAAACAACAGATATATAGTTTAGTAGAAAAAAAAGTAGAACAAAAATTACTTTTTGACTAGCTGATACGTTTTACAACTTTAAGTAGACGTCTTTACAAATTTTACAAGTGATGCCGCTCACGATATCGTCGACAGAGTCAATTATGGACATACGGAGAAAATAATCTATGTGAAACAGAAGCAGCGCTTTCTGTTTTTGTAATTATTATCTCAAAAGATAGTTTAAAAGAGCAGTTACTATTTAAATCATAAAAGCCAAATAACAAAAATACGGGACTTCGAGGAAAATTCTAAACGGAAAGTCCCTAATCAAATGACAAAATCAAAAACTGAAACACATCAAACGAATGGATAACAACTGTCATATTCCTGACTTGGTACAGACATTTTTTTTCTGTAGAAAATGGTGGATTAAACCTGGTTTATAGCCAGCTTAACCTCTCACATGTATGACAGTCGCATAAAATTACATTATATTGACGACGATGTGTGAACAAAACAAACATGGATGTGTACGGATTGATAATTTAGTCTAAGATGCATGATTTTTTTTATTAGTTGTTAGTGGCTTTGAACTAGCTGTCAGTAACTGCGAGTACTCTCAGATCTGTACTTAGTGTCTTTTTGTTGTTTGGATGTACAAGTACCCGGCCACGTCCACTTTTAATTGTAGTATTTGTATTTTTATTCATCTGATGAGTTAAGCCTCTTTCAACTGATTTTTATAGTTCGTTCTTATGTTGTACTGTTACACCACTGTCCCAGGTTAGGGGGAGGGTTGGGATCCCGCTAACATGTTTAACCCCGCCACATTCTGTATGTATGTGCCTGTCCCAAGTCAGGAGCCTATAATTCAGTGGTTGTCGTTTGTTTATGTGTTACATATTTGTTTTTCGGTTCA